TGAAACAGATATTTTTTGAAACCGGGACCGGGAGTGGATAAATCTGAAAACGCCGCCCTTGCGTTTTCGTGTGGACAGTGAATCCATATATAAGTAAGTGTATTTACTTGTCTCATTAGTGTTTAGTGCAGTTGTCATTGCTAGGAAACGCTTGTTTTGTTTACTGTGTGGAGACGTGCTGATATCGCGTTTGGTCTCGTTCGGTATCGCGTATCTTTTTATTTCTCCTCTTTCCTATTACTTGTTTCGCTTCTGTTTCAGTTTTTATAACCATGTGTGTTTGGCAGTGTTATTTTTTAGGATTACTGATAAACTACTATCATTTGATTTGTATTATTTGTATATTTGTTATATAAATTATGTCTGAATTTATTATGTCTGTATAGGTCTTTTATTAAGTTTTATTTAATTTGAGTTATTTTAATACTTCAACAAACTAAATGGAAATGAAATAATATATATATTGAATTTATAAATGTGTGTGTATGTATGTATATATATATATATGTGTGTGTGTGTATGTGTGTACAAACAACATGTACGTTGTTTTTTTTTGGTGTTTGGCTTGGTGTTGTTAAAAAATTTTATATACATTTTTTAAATTTAAATTTAGTGTTATGTTAGAATCATTATTATACTCATACCTTTTGTTCTTTAATATTTTGAATTGTTTTTAGCTTTATTTTTTGTTTTTCATTTAAATGTTAATTTTTTAAATATTGTTGTATGCATGTGTCATTTTTATTTAATTTCTTTATTTTTAAAATGTGTATAAGTAGTATTTATAAAGTTTTAGCTTTTAGTTTTGGATCTGTTTTTAGTTGTTTTAATACTACAATTGATTGCTTCTGTTGTCCTCATTTGTAAGTTGCTTTGAATAAATGCGTCTAATAAATGACTAAATAAATAAATAAATATATTTTCTGCTAGTCTGGCATGTATACTACATCGCTTTTTGTCTGTTTCGTGTGGACACAGAGACTAGGGGAAAAAAAAGATCGGATAGCTCTGGTTTCATGTGTACGTAGCCTAAATGTGATAGTGCACCAAAAACAAAAAACTACACAGACACAGAATTTATACCTGGCACAACTGTGACAGTGGTTCCTGGTGGATACTGTGACCCCAGAGAGCTGTTGAACGAGGTGTTGCTGTTGAGATTCTGTGGTGATACCACAATGTAACCCTGGTGAAATGATAAAGAAAAAAAAATAAAGATTCAGTACCCTGAGCAAATTCAGCTTATGAATACACACATTAATGAATATAAATTCATGCATGTTTATTACTAATGTAAAATTTAACCCATAGTGGGAAGAAGCCTGTGGCTACTATGGGCAGAAAGCAACTCTATCATTGTACTTAGCATTTGTTCAGCACAAATCACAGATTTATCTGAAAGTTGAAAAAGAAGTGAAGTTACCTGATTGTTAATAATGATGGGTTGAGGGGCCGTTTGAGGTCCTAGAGTTGTGTTGAGAGGGATGAGGATGGGATTTCCTCCTGACGGGGCAGAGCCTCTGACCATGATTGTAGGACCTGTAGCCACCCTAGCGGGGTTCGGCGGAGCTTGCAGAGTCTTTTGTGAAGATGCCAACATCGAGGGTTTTTGAACCGGGACATTCCGCTGGTTCTGTTGGTTAACAGCACCTGAAGATCACAAGAACAAGAAACAATGAGCAACAAGACCAGAACAGAAGTGACAGTGTGCCAACAAGAGAGTCAAACCTTGTCTCGTGTTGGTCGCAGGCTTGGAGCTACAGATTTCACCGACAAATATTGGTTCATCATCATCGTCATCATCAAGATCTATCAGATTGATTTCTGGTATTGCCTTCTGCCACGGCTCCAACTCCTCCTCCTCACACTCCATAAACAGCTCAGACATCTTAAAGAGGAAACAAAAAACAAATCAGTGCAGTGCTACGTGGTTAATGAAATTATACCAACAGCCCACAGATTATATCATAACCTGGGTGTAGGCATACCAGCACAGCTACACCTCAATAAAAGCTAGCTAATGCTTGAGACTCCAGCAAAACTAAGGTGGCATATATATCACTGAAATGCCACAAAACAAGGTATGTGTTAGAACCAAATTATCTTTGCTTCCCACAGGAAAAGATATACATGTAGACATGCTACTGTTAAGTTTAAAAGCCCAACTATAGTAATGTAAAACCTGTGATCCACCTCTAGCAGCCACGAGACTGTTACTGCGGACACAGACCGGCTAATATGCTAATTCAGAGTCCCAACATTTACACCCCAGCCATTACTTCAAAATGCAGTCAAGAATAAAGGGCAGAACTGCTAAGAAATCAGAGACGTTCATACATCGACATAGATCTCGCACATTATTCAGAAATCTGTTAGCAGACAGGTCGGCTGTCTGGAAGCTAACATGCTAAAAAGCCAGAAAAATAGCATGCGCCTGCAGAGAGAAACGGCAAATCACACAAGAAATGTTCATTGGCTTCGATATGATAACATATAGGCAAACATTTCGGATTAAAAAAAAAAAGCGAAACACGGCCTTACCTTTTAAAATCTCGGATTATTTACAAACAACGTCAGTGTTGATTCAGACACACTCACGGCGGCATGAAGCGCGGAGGCTCATGGGAAATCAGAGCGGCTATTGTTGGGACTGAAGAACCTCACGTCTCTCACAGAACCAAGACTTTTTCCCCCCCAACACTTTGAAAAGCCTCCGTTTATGACAACATTAAAAATACAGAACATAAAGCAAAGCACAAAGAAGAAAATAAAGTAATTATAACCAATACATGAATGAGTCAGACAATAAAAACTAGGTCAAAACGCCGTCCACGTATACATTACAGAACATGATCCTCAGTGGAGTTTTAGATTTTAAGACTTGCATCTTGATACTTTATACTAAAACTTGATACTAAAATTGACAAATATTTTAAGTAACCTAAAATAAAAACAACAAATAACATTAGAATAACATCAGAAATGTATGAGTAATAGTTTGAAGTAATTCAATGACGATAAAACAGAACCCCAGTAATAGTATTTAGTTAATTTAGAGTTAGAGATTTTAATTTGACAAGCAGCAACTTTGACAGTTTTGTCTCGCTTCTGTTTGTTTTGACCAACAGGTGGCAGTAGGGGTATTGTGATGGGTTAGGAGTGCATGCCATTTATAAATAATCAATGTCATCATCACCAGCAGATCATACATCTCGTTCTTTCATTCAGAAAGTTTGGAGGGAAGGGAGTTTTTAGAGGTTTTTTTTGGATGGCTTATGTTGTACATCTGTAAGCTGTTTTGGCTTTGTGATGTTAAACTGTGCAGCCCTTTGTTCTGTACAGGCAATTAGTTTTCAATGTGCTTTTCTCTGTCTCTTGAATGATAAATATCTGTGATATCTGTGAACTTGATTAAAATTGGTCAATGTTTGAACAGACATAATGACGTAATATATGTAATATCCCAGTTCTCTGTTTTTTATGAAGTACTTCTATAGTAGTACTGAATATCACTATTTTTGATATCACTGAATGTAAAAATTATGTAAGCATTATAATTTTTTATGCAAGTAAAGAATGTGACAATATTTACATGTGTCAAATACAGCACAAATAAACACACACACACACACACACACACACACACACACACGTCTGGTCAGCTATCCTTGTGGGGACTCTTCAGGCATAATGGTTTTTATACTGTACAAACTGTATATTCTATTGCCCTACACCTAAACCTACCCCTCACAGGGAACTTTCTGCATTGTTAGATTTTCAAAAAACTTCATTCTCTATGATTTATAAGCTTTTGTACCCGTGGGGACCACAATTTAGGTCCCCACCGTGACATGAGTCCCCATGAGTCTGTGTGTATTCAGGTTTAAGACCCCACAGAATAGAAAACAGGTACACACACACACACACACACACACACACACACACACACTCACACATATATATATATATATATCAGCGCATTGTAATTAATATATACAGCATACTCTCATAATTAAATATAAAGATCAGCTCGTTATGAGTGAATGAGCTATTTGTTGCCAGTAAGTTGCTTTTAATTTTATGGCAAACTTTCTAGTGTAGTGTAGTTGAGTACTAACGACAACCCAGAGAGACTGTTTTACATTCAATTGCAAAAGTACTCAGATTTAATCTGCCTAGTCACACATGTAAATAATAATATTAAATGGTTTGGGTCCTTTTAAAACAAGCTAAATAACTATTCTTACTTGAAGGTTATTTATTGCATTCCTTCTCTGCAAAAATATGTTTTTATACATTTACGATTGAAGAATTGAAGAATTACGCTTGTAAAAAAAAGTTTGCAAATGTATTTATCTATATGAAAATTCAGATTTATTAGAAAATATTATAAGTCTCCCAAGTCCAAAAGTTAATAATAGCAACAACAATACCAATATTATTGCAAACAATTATATATTTTTTTATTTTATCAAATTTTATTATTTTTCATAATTCATCACATCACATAAACGTATATGCTTATACTACATTATGCACTATTATTTATTTCTAAGATTGTCATGTTGTTGCACTGTAACCTATTCTTGATGTTCCATTGGTTGCATTGGCACATGAAGAATTCCAATTCTCAGGATGAAGGAAAGAAGAAATGTGTGGTTATCTAAGGGTTGAAAGGAGAAATAGCATTATCCGTATGTTTACATGGTTTTGGTAGAGTGTGCACTAATTCAGAAGGTCTCCTAAGCATTTCTGCTGCTTCACTTTTTCCAGCAGAACACATAATGCAGCTAAATTATGTATCCCATACTTTAAAAATGCACAATTTCTCCCACTACTAATAATACACATATCCAACGAAGGCCACATTTACGTGAACGGAGTTGGGAGGTAAACCAAACTGATTTTAGGAGGTGCTCCAGTGGTCCTTTACTCCACTAGCAAGGTTGTGTGTCATGCTTTATGATTCGCCACACGTGATATTCATCCGCACCGCTGAAGAACAGTCAAGTCTACGCGCTGGCGGAAGGACACAGTTTTAGACCTCATCGCTGTGCTTCGGTTATCGCCAAGCAGAAATGTCTGCCTAAGGGAAACCCGCAAGTTACATAGTGGACATTTGCAATATACATTCGCAAGAGATACCGATTTCATTATCTTTCCGACGCGAGACAAGGAACCCCACGCCGTCACTGGCACACCCGATCGCCCTAGTTGGATTTTTGACAGCAAAAAAGGTAAAATATTGCAGAGAGCTTGTGAGAGGTGTCGGACTGTTTGAAAGAAGTTGGGATAGAAGAAAAGACGGGAGCGAAAGCGGTCGGCATTCGCTTTAACATTTGAGTTTGACATCTCACTGTTCATTCTCCACGTCAAAACGTGGGTTATGTCAGTGCTAATGGTCGGTTTTCGCGTAACGTTAATCGTTTCATGGTCGCGCCACTTATGAATAGGTTAACTGGCAATTAGCGAGCAGCAGCAGCAGCAGCAGCAGCAGCGTTGTTTGGAAGTGTCCATTCTCCTGTAATACAACAACAAAAGTGTGTAGCGGCTGATGTTTTGACAGCGCATGTGAGTTCATTGTAAGCTCGTGGCTTCTGATACATCGAAAAATCAAACACATGCAGCTGAAAAATGATGCTGCGGGTCCATGTGCGTGACACCATCGAGCACAGGGTCTTTCTCAACATGTCCACCTTTGGTCATCCCCCAAAAAACCCTATTAGGCCTGCTCTCTGACATTATAATAACACCTATTCCCACGGTGTCACCTCATGTCATGCGATTGTTATTGTTTACAGAAAGAAATTCCGTAACCTTGTCTGAAACTGTCAATAATACGAGGCTGGGGGTCTTGTGTCTCTCTCTTAGGAGCTTTTTTTTGTATTACTATTTAATGGAGAGCACATAGTTTTTGATCAAGGACAACCAGGTCCTTCGATTGCCCTTGTTTTGTATCAGGCTTTTGGAAAAGCGCAAAGTTAGTTCTGCTGAAGACTGGAGATGGGGATGTGTAGCTGCATGTCAAGCTGCGGATGCTCGCCGATGTCATTTGCATAAGCTCTGCTGGCTAGCTTGAAGCTTCAGCGCACACCAGGCTCTCAGATTGAGGGGAATGATGCTTGTGTTTTGTAGATTTAGAAAAGGATCGGAAGGATGAACCCTCAGCAGCGGATTGCCGCTATCGGGACGGATAAGGAGCTGAGTGATCTGCTGGATTTCAGCGCGGTAAGACATTAATCAATGATTTTACTACTTCACTACTCTCTTCCAGCTGTTGTCTTTGGGTCAGTCACTCACTTGTGAGATATGCATTATTAGAGTTTAAGTATTACTTTTTTATGTTGTGAATATTTGTTTATTTGTCTCCCGATTACATGGAAATCAACACACAAACATTTATATGCACACTTTTTTTTGTACAGATATTTTAGAATATGTAATATATAAAACATGCACTTATTTTTTATTATTATTATGTTTTTGCACATACATTTTTTTTATTGATTAAACATGAGACACTGTCTGTGTAATGTTAGTACCACACTATTTCAGAAAATGTTTGCACGTCTTCCCATAGATGTTTTCTCCACCTGCAAACAGTGGGAAAAACAGGCCGACCACTCTTGGAAGCAGCCAGTTCAACGCAACAGGTAGGACGTCCTGTGGAAATCCTTTAATGAAAGATTGTCTTCCTCGCACACTGTCCAGTCACCTCCTCTCGATTCTCAGTGCAGTTTTGTTGCTGTTGATTATAGTAAAGAATTCCTTCCCAAGGTGTTTTTGATTTTGGTTTATCTTGATTAATAAGGAGCAGGTAGAGAAGTGTTCAGCAATGCAAGTAATCTTAGAAATCAGATACATCCACTGTTTTAATTACACTGAAATGAAAGGCACCACTTTTGCCAACTTGTCATGGCTGGTATTTTTTAATTTATTTTTTTATTCTTTACATGGATACATACTTTACATACATGCATCATTGCTTTTCATGGACTTCACATTAAAGTCATAGAAGTGACCTAGATCAGGTTAAATATCTGGGGCTGGATTCACAAAAATCTTCTTAAGAAATAAGTTAAGGTTCAGCAGCAACAAGTCTGTGTTGGCTTTAGCAGCTTCTACAGGTAAAGATAACTTAAAGCACTCCTTTTGATGTGTCCTTTTTAGGCAATGTTTGAAAAATGTAGTTTTTAAATTACATCTAAAAAATATCAAAATATTTAATACATTATTTAATTATTATACCATTAATAATTAACTTAATTTGTAGTTAACTAGTTAAGTATTTAAATAATTAACCCTATTAGGCTGTTGGTGTCTGGGCTTATTTATTTATTTACATATTTTTAAATGACATGAGACTTTGTGACTTCCTGCACTTGCTGTACTTCATAGTCATTTTATAATCCAAAAGCAAGACGTGAAAAAAAAACTAGGGAGTGGACATGGGAGCTGAGCTAATGGGTGATCCTCTGCTGCCATCTACTGGATATAATGGAAATCTCATGTCATTTTCATCTTAAAGGGTTACTCCACCCCAAAATAATCACTTACCCCCATGTCGTTCCAAACCAGTAAAAGCTTTGTTCGTCTTCGGAACACAATTTAAGATATTTTGGATGAAAACCGGGAGGCTTGTGACTGTCCCATTGACTGCCAAGTAAATTACACTGTCAAGGTCCAGAAAAGTATGAAAGACATTGTCAAAATAGTCCATCTGCCATCAGTGGTTCAATCTGAATTTCATGAAGCGACGAGAATACTTTTTGTATGCAAAGAAAACAAAAATAACAATGACAAATTGTTGAATAAAGTCGTTATTTTTGTTTTCTTCGCGTACGAAAAGTATTCTCGTCACTTCATAACGTTACGGTTGAACCACTGATGGCAGATGGACTATTTTGATGATGTCTTTCATACTTTTCTGGGCCTTGACAGTGTAATTTACTTGGCAGTCAATGGGACAGTCACAAGCCTCCCGGTTTTCATCCAAAATATCTTAAATTGTGTTCCGAAGACGAATGAAGCTTTTACGGGTTTGGAACGACACGGGGGTAAGTGATTAATGACACAATTTTCATTTTGGGGTGGAGTAACCCTTTAAGTCTTTGTTTTCCACCAGGAGACCATTTTTTTCATGTCTTCTTTTGGATGAGACGTTAAACCGAGACCCTGACTCTCTGTGGCCATTAAAAATCCCATGGCACTTCTCGTAAAGAGTAGGGGTGTAACCCCGGTGTCCTGGCCAATTGCCCCCCTGGCCTTTGTCAATCATGGCCTCCTAATAATCCCCAACCACTTGATTGGCTCTATGACTCTCTCTTCTCTCCACCTGTAGCTGGTAAGCACACTGGCGCCGTTGTCCTGTGGCTGCCGTCGCATCATCCAAAGTGAACATTTAAAGTGAATTTTAGCAGAGTTTTTCACCCATGATGAGTTTGCATCCCTGAACAATGAATAGAAACACAAAATGGGGCACTTGAATTTTGTATTTTATTTTTTAAATGGAAATCAACATGGTACTCCAAATGATGTTGATTAAGCATCACTTGTATTGAACCTGCCATATTACCTTAAAATATCCATAATGGTAATCGGCATGTGTTTTAGGAGGTTTTGATAGTGGAAATGTGCACTAAGGGTTTGGTCATGTTTCTCGCTAATCTGTCAGACCTTTGTAAAGAGCAGCTCTTCTGTTGAAATGCTGTGATATGCCCTCTGTTTCATCCACAGCTCAGCGAGGTCTGATAACAAAATTCTCTTTTGTTGTCTCCAACACTGTTATTTCTCATGTCATAGCCACTGTGTTATACAGGCATGAGGTATTGTGCAAAGATAAATATCCTTTGCTTTTTCTAGAAAAAAGCTGTTGAAACAAACCCACCAAGAAGCATTTAAAACAATGGTGGAATAGTGCCATCAGAGAATATTTCTGCAAATGCAACTCTTCCTCTGTTAGACCCCACCCAGTGCCTCTTCATGTGAGGCAACAGTTCAATTAATTGCAGGTCAAGTTCATAAATTGTATGGAATGGTCACACATGCAAATGCATACACTTTCATTCACAAGTTTGGGATCAGGAAGTTTTTTTTAAATACTTTTATTCAGTAAGGATGCAAATTAAATGGATCAAAAGTGACAGTAATAACATTTAAACCGTTACAAATGATTTTCTGAATGGATAATATGTAGCCAAGCCCTTTATGATCACTGAAAAGCTGTCACTCATTTCAGTTTATCGCACTCTTAAAAAATGCCGTTCTAGTAAATTAATCTCTCTACGCTGCACAATGAATCTCTTATTTACATTGCGTCCTACACTTTGTTCATTATAATGAGAGGATTCGCAAGCTTGCAGAACTCAGGACCGAACAGAACTCTGACCTTTTGAGTGGTGAGTGGATCTGACAATCATCTCTGATTGGCCATTGCATTCAAGAAATCAACAGATATTTCTGTGATTGGCTACAGTGTTCAACGCTGCAAAGACACGTTGTACATGGAAACCTTTGATGCTCTCCAGAGCAAAAACACATATACTAGTCTGCCGTGAGGCGGCTGCCGCTTACTTTTGTTTTGTTGTTTAGTTTATTTTACTATTAAAGTTATGTTTGCCAGTTCCCACTTCCTTCTTCCCTGAGTCTTGAGCATTTGTTACATACATACATTTTCCTTAACCCCTTAACTGTCACCGTCCCACCTGTGGGACATTTGGCGCTCTTTTTTGTTGTTGTCTGTTTTCTCTATAAAATCTTTTAGCAATCATCATAAATCATATATCATTTGAAAGCTTAGAAGACCAAGATTCATCCTGCGAAAACCATTTCGAATTCAGAAATGGTACTTTAAAATCTTTTGGCGGTCTCCTCCCCCTTAGTGGGCAGTGTCACGTGTCATATTACAAAATTAATTACGGTCTTTTAGAATCAAAACTTTTTATAATCTTGACAAAAAACATATCATTGGAAAGGTCTGAGTCTCAGGATTCCATATTTGGTTATTATTTTATAGAAGTAATATTGACAGAGAAATCTAGACATTTGTGACAGAAAAATGCATTTAAAAAAATTCAATGGAGTTTGGATGGCACCCGGTGGCTGTTTGTGGTATAACGCCCTAAATAAAATCTCACAGGAACCTCCATTTTTTTCATATCAACTTCAAATTTGGAATATAACTTATTTAGACATAAGGCTATAATTTTATACCAATTTTAGAGTAAAACCTGATATGTAAAATATTTATTATATATAAAATAAAATAAAATTAATATAGTGCATTTTCTTTACAGTAAATTTAAACTACTATAACTTTTTGATACTTTGCGATAGTTTGCTGACACACACATACACACACACACACACACACACATATATATATATATATAAAATCTGTGGGAAAATATATTATTTTCAAAATAGTCTTTAAAAAGCCTCAGTGAGTTTTAATGAAGGACCCCTTCTCTTTGGCATGAGGCTGTTTATTTTTGGCTAACCTGCTGCTTGCTCTGTGAACCATTGGGCCACGTTGCTCATGTGATGCCGTCAAAGCAGTGGCTTTCTCTGGCAGGCTGGAAAATTCTGGGAGGGTTTTTGGACATGTCATGTATGTGTCTCAGGTCACCTCATGGCTTGGTTATGGAAGATCATGCTGTTTCCATAGCGATCAAGGCCCTTTGAAGGCAGGTTACTTGGCACGGCATGTGCATCTTTTCCAGCGTTTCAGCAAATCTCCCCCAACAGCGCATTTGTTGGCATTTTTGGTGATTGATTTGGATTTTAGAGGTAAAAAACAACAACTTTGATGTGAGTTCAAAGAATGGAAATTAAACTAGGGCATGTTTAGATTATGGTTATTCTTTGTGTGATGAATAAATAAGTGTCTTGTGGAGGACAGCTGTATTTGAAACAAAGAAGAGATGTTGTAAACTTTCACATCTGCTCTGGAGCAGTCTGCTGGATGTCTCAGGTGTGTCATTGGAAAATAGTGACAACAGGAAAATAATACACATGATTTCTAGAAGTAGGTTTGTTTTGTGCTTTGTGACAAGTAGGCTGAACAATGAGATTTTTATTAACATTTTTAAGTAGCGGTTAAACGGATCGTAGTTGATCCGTGATCCGTACGGACCAAGCCCCACGGTTCGGCACGCATGTGATCCACGGATTAATTGCAATATTTAACCATAATAGAGTATATGTTTATCATTTGTTCGTATTTACACAAGAAAGCGAATTTTAAACAATTCCAGAGAGAAAAGGCGAAAGGAAACTCGATTTGTTACTCACGCTGTTCTTTACGCGCACAGCCGCACACGCATTTCAGACGGCACGAGAACACTGAACTGAATCCTCTTCTGAATCCTCTGAACAGACACATACAATTATGACAAAATACCCATCGCGACAATCATTCAGGTAAACGCAGACAGTTATGTCTCAAGTGAATGAAAACAGCTGAGAAAGAAATCGGATGTGATGTGTATCCTTATATCGTATCCGTGCTGTCATTATTGATCATCAAACAACAAAAGAGCTGTGATAAAAATCTATATTTAATTTATACAGTGAACACTATGCAGTGTTATTTTCCCTAATTATTAAATTTCTGTATTTGAATACTACCAACCTTATTTAATTTGTAACATAT